GTTTTATAAAGCAGTGATATTACAAGGAGAAATTTGACGCTGATCACTCTTAGGGCTTAAAGGGTTAATCTTGCTTGAGATGTTTCGATGTACAACAATGTTCTTGTGCATGCATGACGCCAAGTTTATATGCGGAATTCGGCCACCCCGGCCTTAGCCGTATCGGGAAAATTGGGACAGATGTCAATCCACAAAATATATTTTGTTTTTAGCTGTTTTATGACATATTTTAAAATAACATTTATAAATATGAAGTTGACACTAGACACTGAGACCTTGAAATCTTAGCCGGATGTTTGATGTTTGAATAACCCTTTCAAGACTAAATTTAAGGCTGTTGATATACTGTCTTTTATCAATTATACAAACTTCAGGATGTTGGAATTAGGAGGGTTATTAAATGTTGATCGACATTCCCGTTTTTTGTCATGTTTTCGGTCTTAAAGAGATAAATGCATAAAAAGTAAAACGTTTTTAACCATTTTTTAAATCGAAGGAATATTGTCTTTTACTGAGTGCCCCTTGGCAAATTTCGCTAAAAGTTAATCTGGCAATCCCTCCATAAACCATTTCAAGGTAAACATAAATAATATTCTCAGAAAACAAAATGTAATTTCATCTTCACATTACTGGCATTTCTGGTATTTTATTTTGTTTTGGAATAGTGTCTACTTTTGACGCTTTTCTAACATCGAATATGGTCAACGGAAGACGGCCAAAAGTTCATGGAAGTATTATTTTAACTTTTTTTTTTCGGTCACGTGAACTATAAGTGTACATTTTCCCGCATTATTTACACCAAGTGACTTAAGAGGCTTCAATTAAACTTCCACTTCAGTTTTATCAATACTTATCCATAAAAACATATTCCAATGACCTATCCCTTTGATTTAATTTACAAGCAATCACTCATTCTATTTATAGTCAACACTACTGGTCGTTCATTAATTCCTATTTATACGCTAATCTACTTATTGTCAATTAAATGTAGTAACTGTATCCTGTTGTCTTGCCAGGAGCGAAGCGTTCATATCCGCACACACGCCAGTGCGTACAGCTGAAATCTGTTTTAGTACCTGAAAGCACTTTATCTGATAAAACCGGGATGACAGATATTTTTTTTTGCATTATATTGGAGTCCCTGTTTTAGTATTTCCTTCATCCTTATTGTTCTATCAACGGCTTACTGCAAGAAACGCTATAGTTGGGTGAGAGATGAGTGACGGAGCTCTGTTGCATTTCTGCACAGTCATAACAAGCACAAGGACGTTAACTGCTATTAAGAGCGTTGTAACAGAGTTTGCACGTCTAGAGCCGTCTGAAGGGTTTAGACGTATCGCCCTCCGCTTGTAACCTCTTTGATTGCGTCACTGTTTTACCTTTTTCCCGTTAACATTGTATCTTACCGATAACACTAGAGAGGTGTAAAAAAAAAAACAACGGACTACTGCATTTTTCCTCCTTATTTGTTTGCTGAAAGTGTTCCGTGAAAAACGTAGGAAATGGCGTTTCTGGGTCCCTAAATTAATTATCTTTTTTGGCGGGAGCATGCCCATGCCTCTCCTAGTTTGGAGCGCCTTCGGTGCATTAACTTTCTTTCCCGCGTGCGTACACCTTCAGAATCTCACACCATTCCAACTACCTTGTCTGCTTGCTAAAATTCCTCATTTATAAGTTCGTTCTGATTTCTTTCTAGCGTTTCCAGTCCCTTCCAACTATACTTGTGACTCCTAGTCACCAGGTTCCAGAGCGACCTCAGGATGCCATGGCCGTGTGGGTGGAGGATTTGACCCAAAGCAGTTTCAAAATTTGCCTCCGAGAAGTAAAGATTTTCGACGGTTTTCATCAGAATATTAAAGTTGTGAGTAATTTTGACAGTGCTTGCCTATTATTAAATTCCAAGTTCTTCACTTTAAAGCAAATAAACCCCTCTAAAATGTCTCTTTTAAACATTAAAATGTTCTGTTACTATTATAGCCGGTTCTTGGTGTCCAGATGGTGGCGGGGAGCGAGTTAAATCGTACGCCTGGGCCCTACAATCTGAACGCCTGGGACGCTCAGGCTATATTTCTATGCTATAAATGGAGATGTATAGGGCGAGATGTAAGAGTTGGTCACAAACTAATAAAGTAAATTGTTTAGTTTTGACTACTGGTATATACAGGAGAAGTATAACCACTACCCACTTTTCTGTCCGGCGGATCTTCAATATTCTTCTTCGTTTTTGAAACGAAAAAGCTTAAATTACCAGGGGCTCACACAGCCTGCTGGGGACACTTATTTGGCTAATTCACTAGTGAAAATGATAACCCGAAGTCCTTTTTCGTATGTTCTTTTAAGCAGAACTGGATGGCATTTACCAATTTGAGGGTTCAAAATTTTACTTTGGCTGATAGTTTGGCGTTTACCAACAACAGATCGTTATCTCGATCGCAAGATAACTTCGCCTTTTGTCAGGTATACGCAAGAAGTTAAAAGGTAACATTTTTAAATTGCACTCCTTTGCAATGTCCATTTGTATTGCATTCCGTTCTCTTATAATGGAATGTGTCTGAGCGTAGCTTGATATTATAGTTAGTTTGTTTGTTTATTTGTGCATTTGCGTGTTCGTTTGTTTGCAACATAGCTGCCCAAATACTTCTTTTAAATAATTCATTGTTTTTCTTTACCAGAACATCACCTTCACAGATCCGTTCTTTGCCCCTCCGGTGGTGTTAGTAACACCAAAATACATTTACAGTGGCAACAATTTGCTTTCTGGTTGTAACGCAGTCACCACCTGGGTTGAGGTAAGATTGTTCTTTCTTTACTGTATCATTGTTAAGTGCAAAAAATGCACCTCCTGATGATAAAAAAGCTTGTTCATGTTACATGTTCAAGAATTTTTCAGTAAGGTATGAGATCTCGGTGCACCCCATGTTATATATATTAGAATATACGAGATTTATAGGACGCAAATTAGACCATACTGGACTGCATGATTATTATAAGAAAAAAAAAAAAGAAAAAAGAAAATTAATCGAATATTTTATTTCATTAAAGAATTCAACCAAAACAGATACAAAGATCTGTGTACGAAACTACGATAGGATCAGTAACAATACCATTAAAGTCGACTTCCTGATTATTGGAGGTATGTAAAAATACTTACTTAGTACAAAGAAATGAGAATAAAAAGTGCTGTTTGTCATTTAAGATAACCAGGCAGATCCGTTTTAAATTCAAGCCTTTATAGTTACGCGCACGGTTGTCCAGTACTCACAAATAGACTCCATTGGTGTTAGTGGTGATAAGAAGGGTCTTCATTGGTACCAATGGTACGATTGGTACCAATGGAAAAGTACCCTATTCCAATGGTTCTGTTGGTGAATATGCATCTCATTAAGGGGACTTAGATTATTTTCTTATCTGGTCTAGCTGGGTACAGGGCAATTCGAATGGTCCATTGGTACCAATGGTACGATTGGTACCAATAGAAGAGCACCCTAATTCAATGGTTCTATTGGTGAATATGCATCTTATTAAGGGGACTTCGATTATTTTCTTATGTGGTCTAGCTGGGTACAGGGCAATTCCAATTCATAAGAATTATAGCGCGTTTCTGCTTGGTGTAAAAGCGAACTTGTTTTGCAGCAATAGAACCATTGGAATGGCATTTTCTGTTGGTACCAATCGTACCATTGGTACCAATGGACGATCGGAAATTGCCCTGTAATGTAAGTCCCCTTAATGAGATGCATATTCACCAACAGAACCATTGGATTGACATCCTTTTCCGTTTGGGACCAATCGTACCATTGGAACCAATGGACCATCGGAAATTGCCCTGTACCCAGCCAGGTCACATGGGAAAATAATCAAAGTCCCCTTAATGAGATGCATATTCACCAACAGAACCACTGGAATGACATCCTTTTCTATTGGTACCAATCCTACCATTGGTACCAATGGACCATCGGTTTGACGAATCGTATCCGTTTGTGTATATTGGACATGTGTGGAGGCACAAACGTACCTTACTTTAAAGCCTGCGAGGCCGGCGCAAGAAAGGAGATTGTCCCCACGTGCGCCCTCGTGCGGCACACCCCGACCAAGAATTTCTCTACGAAAGACCCCCCGAGAATTAGAGCTTATGTGTAATGGAAGAGCAGCCTGGTGGAAACACGTGACCAACTATTGAAAAAGGCCTATTCTATTGGTCCTGGTTATATCTGGCTTCTTGTGTTATGTTTGTGAGATTTAGCTAGCGTTTATTGAATGACGCACAGGATAAATTTTCCTGAAAAATCGGTGCGTCAGGAAAAAGGTATAGGCCTAGATAAATTTGTGCAATTAAGCATTTATGTAAACTGTATCTTTCACTTTGCTGTTGTTTTTTCATCGAGTTTAGACTTATGTGAAACGCGATTTTTGTACACTCCTACTAGATCTGGATCCTTGTCTGGACGTAACCTGTGATTACCACTGTCTTTGTAAGGCTTTTGGACCATACGATGCCCGCTGCGTGCACGCAGAAAACTGCCCATCCTACCAAGAGCCCATATGTTCCTCCAACGGAACGACGTTTGATAATAGGTGTCTCTTTGAACAGGAAATGTGTCTGTTGCGACTCAACTACACTATCCAACATCCCGGTGGTTGTGAAGGTTAGCAACTCAGTATGCTGCTCATTTATTAGTTTCTAAAGACTTTATCTGAAACATCAGATTTAGACGTCTGTCAACTGCAAGCATTTTAGGAGAAAACTCACACCAACACCTACACTAATCATTTAAGCATTCAATGAATATAGCTACGTTTTTGTTACTGCTTTCATTTTGTTCTATATATTTACCATAATTTAATGATTTTTGTTTTGTTTTGTTCTTTTTGTTTTTTATTTCCGCTTCTTTTTGTCAGGGTTCCCATTTCAGCGCGGTCGAATTCACATGCCCCACATACCATCTTTGGGATACTCTCATTGCCAAGCTGTTCGTTTCCGACCCTTTGTATTCTATCCTGACAAACCTATCCAAGTACAGATAACTGTCAATCACATCGATACCAGTGACATGACATATGTCCACGATGCTGCTGTGTCGTGGATTGAAGATGTAAGTTACGAACAATTCACTGGGTGCATGATGGCGGCAGGGTATAACGAGCGCAAGTCCAGTGCTAATGTGTCCATAGACTGGATAGCTTATCAGGGAGCTCCAGTGGGTGGGGTCACTGGAGAGTTGCACATGTCACAGTGGTGGACTGGAACGACTTGTAAGACCGTGAGTTTCCCTTCGGTAAGTCAGTAGATCTTTTCAAAACGCATACCTACTGCTTAACTACTTCTGACTACGACGACGACGACTCACAGTATCACTATCACTACCCCAACGGGGCTTCCATCATAGGTCTACCATGAAAATATAAAGCGAATGCATGGCTTTTTTATAATAAATTTTCTGGATAGTTCACTGAAAAATTGTTTAAGACCTTTTTGGCTCGTATATTTTGTTCTCCCATTTCATACTACGAGAGGTTACCTCATCAGAACTATTTTTTTTCAAATGTCGTCCTTTTCACTGGTGCATATGTGTGCATAACGTTGTGATCTTTATTGTGAAAACAAGAATGCAAGCTGAAAAGGTCTATTTCCCTCACATCAAAGGTCAATGTTTTACTAGTTTTGTAAGTAACGTCAACAATCGGATTATGAGACAAAGAGACTAGATTATTTATTGCTCGGATTTGTAATGCAAGCTATACTTCAACCCAGAGAAGTTACCAGACATTAGAAAAAAGAGCTCAAGGTCTATTATGTGAAATGGTATATGAAATGACACAGACCATTTTGTCAAGAAAAATCCATTAAAGTGGCAGTTACACACCATCAAAGCGTATTTTGATTTACCTCATTGCCTGTTATCCCTGTACTTAATTTTATACCATTTTCCAATCAGGGCAAGTTTTCAAAGGATCCTTCAGTGTTTGTTACCGCAGAACATCACCGTGCCGGACTGAAGAGAGACGCCGCCAGTATTTGGTTAGAGGACATCACACAATCTTCTGTCAAAATATGTTTACGGGAGCTGCAAAATTACGCTGGCTCCCACGAGGACATTTATGTTGTAAGCATTTAGGATAATTTCATCACAACTTATAAATATAATTACTGATTCACTTTTAGTTAGAGATAGATCGAGAATTAGCTCTGAGGTTAGGACCTGGACAGCCAAGATCCCTTTCGACCACTTCATAGTCACCGTAAAGATGTAAAAAATGTGTAAAACTGTAACTAAACGGTTTTATTTGAAGGCACGTTTTCTGAAATTGCAAGTGATTTTCGGTAACTAATTGGAAGAATTCATGTATGTAAATGAATCAAAAAGAGTGGGCTTGTATTAAAGTCTTCCTTTCATTTCTACCCTGCTTAAGTGAAATAGTGTTTTTAACATCAAAATGTTCGCGCGTAATAGGGGCTATCAACCTTTAGCCTCTGACGCCACAATTTGTTGCTGTTAACAACTGATAACTCGGGGGCTTTTAGTAACAGTTTCCATTTAAGCAATAGAAAACATTTTCCGTGTTTGCATAGCCTGATAAAAACACGAGAGGGGTTGGGAGAATTCGAGACAGTTATGCAAACCCAAGACGAAGTCGAGGGTTTGCATAACCGTCGAGAATTGTCTCAACGCCCCGAGTGTTTATATCAGGCTATGCAAAAACAGGAAAAAAGTTTTCTATTGCTTTTATACAATAACTTTCCCGAGAAAAAAACGCAAAACTCTTTGTATGGCACTGATTAAAAGAGAAATTCTTACCAGTCGCAAAATCTTGTCCACGAAGTCTTGAACGNATTTGAAGGCACGTTTTCTGAAATTGCAAGTGATTTTCGGTAACTAATTGGAAGAATTCATGTATGTAAATGAATCAAAAAGAGTGGGCTTGTATTAAAGTCTTCCTTTCATTTCTACCCTGCTTAAGTGAAATAGTGTTTTTAACATCAAAATGTTCGCGCGTAATAGGGGCTATCAACCTTTAGCCTCTGACGCCACAATTTGTTGCTGTTAACAACTGATAACTCGGGGGCTTTTAGTAACAGTTTCCATTTAAGCAATAGAAAACATTTTCCGTGTTTGCATAGCCTGATAAAAACACGAGAGGGGTTGGGAGAATTCGAGACAGTTATGCAAACCCAAGACGAAGTCGAGGGTTTGCATAACCGTCGAGAATTGTCTCAACGCCCCGAGTGTTTATATCAGGCTATGCAAAAACAGGAAAAAAGTTTTCTATTGCTTTTATACAATAACTTTCCCGAGAAAAAAACGCAAAACTCTTTGTATGGCACTGATTAAAAGAGAAATTCTTACCAGTCGCAAAATCTTGTCCACGAAGTCTTGAACGCGTAATCAGTTCTTGCTTTGCAAAAAGATGCTTTGCAAAAAGATGCTTTGCAAAATACGGATTTTTCTCGCTTAAAATGTCAACTTAAGCGATGAAAAATTGAATCACCTTCTTTGTAACGATTTTCCATGTTTCAGCCGACGAAGGAACGGGTAAATAAAGTAAACTTGTCGAGTTTTGAACTCAAAAACTTTTTCAAATTCGTGCTTGCGTGATTAAAGCTCGAAAAGCCAAACAACTTGACGCCACAACCATGTTTACATACTCTCATGCAAACACTCCTCTCGGCCAATCAGAGCGCGCGTACTATCTTAGTTATCTTATAAATGAATATAAGGACTAGTTGGACGATGACCTCCAAACAAGGAAAGTCATGTAATACTTCGTCTCACTTCCACTAATTGAAAATGTTCGCATAATTTGGTCAAAGTTTGCAGCTTCAGCTTCAAATTACGTGTTACTTTGTACATGTCCGTCTTAGTGACATGTTCATCTTAACAGGGCGTACGCCTGAAGAGAGGCAGGGGCCAACTCCAGGTGTCCCTTTAAGGAGATGCCCGTCTTATATAGAGAGTCAAATAATATGTCTGAAGAACAAAAGGGACCAACTCTAGGTGCCCGTTTTGGGGAGGTGTCCGTCTTATAGAGAGTCAAGTAATATGTCTGAAGAACGGCAGGGATCAACTCTAGGTTTCTGTCTTAGGGAGGTGTCCTTCTTACAGAGTCAAATACTGCTGAGGAACGGCAGCGACCAACTCTTGGTTACCGTTTTAGGGAGGCGTCCGTCTTAAGTCAAATACTGTAACCGAAGAATGGCAAGGACCAACTCTAGGTTTCTGTTTTAGGGAGGTGTCCGTCTTAAAGAGTCAAATACTGTAACTGAAGAAAGGCAGGGACCAACTCTAGGAGCCCTTTTTAGGGAAATGTTCGTCTTATAGAGAGTCAAATATATTAAAACGACAAAAGAAAGGCGGGGGTCAGCTCAAGGCGTGTCCGTTTTAGGCTTTACTGTGTACATGTCCGTGCGCGTCTTAGTGAAATGCTCATCTTACAGGGCGTATGCCTGAAGAGAGGCAGGGACCAACTCTAGGTGTCCCTTTAAAGAAATGCCCGTCTTATACAGAGTCAAATTTGAATAATATGACTGAAGAACGGTAGGAGCCAACTCTATGTCTCCGTTTTAGCGAGGTGTCGCTGTCTTTTAAGGGTGTCCTTTAAAGAGGGAGTTGACTGTATTATTTTGAAATTCATTTTGTTTTAGAACTGGTTGGCGTTTTCTTCACTTCACAAGCCTCTTTTTGCAGAACACGATTCTATTTATTTTGCAAACTCTGGGATTCC